TCAAGATAAAATGGCCATGGCTCCTCGGCATTACTCAAAAAATACTTGGATTCAACTTCAAAAAAACTGCCCCAGAAATGGAAAATCAAATCTGAAACTATCTTAGCAAGTTGGGTCGAATGGGTTAAGAAGGGTAAAGGGAACGTGATCCTTATTGGAAGGTATCAAATTATTTAACTTTCCATTGGAGAAAGTGGCCTCCTTAAAATACTAACATTAAAAATAATTAAGCAACCGATCCTTCTTTCACCTTTACGGGTCACCATTAAAGAAAATCAACACACAAACTGGGCTGTGGGCCAACATATCAAAGGGAACAAGGCATGCATTTGGAGGCCACAGAATTCGAACATGAACAAGCAGAAGAAATTGAAGGAAAAGAGAGTTGGAGGGATAGAGAGTGTTTACATGTTCAGGTCTTCCGATGATGGAAGCAACAGCTTTTGTGGCCTCGGAAAAGATGGGATCCTTATCAACTTCATCAAGGTTGACATTGGTGGAGATATAAAGGCAAGGCATCTTATCTTAATCTAATCTTTGTATCTCAGCCCTTCTTGCTTCTTCTTCTTTGTAAGAGAATAAATATGCGTGAGAGAAAAGTTCTGTCACCAAAAAGATCAGGGACTAGGAAATCCACACTTGTTGCTTCAAAATCCGATGCTTAAAACCTCCTTATATAATTGAGGAAGGAAGAGTTTCAAAATCAAGAAATCCCACACTTGCCCCTGCCCTTACTTCACTGTCTGGAAGCACATGTCTTGAGCTGGATTGGCAAGGATATATGCAAGAGGATGGCAGGACCTGGACCACCCCGAAGGCACAAAAGTTGTGCTGTACAAGATCAAGGAATGGACCATGAATCGATCAGAATACAGGATCAAGTCTAACTACAGTATATGTAATAGAAAATTAGACTTATTTCATGTTATTGTGTGATTAGTCTCTGATGAAAAACTTTGAACGATTCCAACCTTTTAAATGAAGCACTTTTTTAAATAAATGGGACTTCGAGGTAAAGGACTGTGATTTCCACCAATTCAGCTACCAAGTCACTTTCTTAGAACACTTTATCCTCCACAAAAATGGTGGACTGTGATTTCCACCGAACCCATGATATCGTGCTGCTCTCAATGGACAACAAATGCATTTGGTCCAAACTCCATCCCAATATCAACCCATCATCCACAAAATGTGAATCGCGTGGTAAAGAAGGACTAAAAGTTTCATCTTTTTCCCCTTCATCGAAAGCATCTCATGATGAAACTCTATGGCCATCATCCTATCAGAAGTTACAACTGGGAGCAGTTGCCATCAGCTGTTGTATCATAAACTTTGAGGAAGAATCGTGCCCTGGGGATGGATAATAGCCTCAAGAATTGTGCCAAGGGTAGCGATCAGATTCCTCTTAACTTTTTTGGTAATCCCACCCATTGACACTATCTCTGCGTATGCAGCTGGTTTGTTGATGGTTGCCTCATTTGCCGATGAAGAAGTGGTTTTCGATGCTGAGAAGGTTGAGTAAAGATTATCTCCAATAAGTTAGGAAATTTGTTGCAAATAAAGCTGTTATAGAACAGTTTTTTTCTGTTAAAATCTTGTCATTATTTTTCTGAAATTTATTATTAGAACTCTTGTATAAAAAAATGATTCAATCAATAATTAATGCTTGCAGTCTAAATAGCGGAAATTTAGAGAAAAAAGGATGTTTCAATGGAAGAAAGGTTTTATCTGTTTCTTTGAATATTAACGTGAATATATAGCTTACTATTCTATACGAGCTGCTGGTTTTTTTATAACATTACAAGTTGCTTAATTTGGATACATTGACTTGCCTAATTCTTGGCTGATCTGTTGTAGCAATATTTCTGAGGATGAATTACATCCTAGTACTCTATTGCCTGTTAGAAATGTGAAAACCGGAAGTTAGTGGGTGGGGAAAAATTCAAAGGTAAATTTGTTTGACCAGATTTAACATGTAATCTTGCAACTTTGATGAAGCAAATGTGCCCTGGTATGTCCTGGTACGCATCTTTGAAGGTGCCCTGGGATGCCCTACAACTGGATTCCTAATACATCTGCTTTTGTTTAGCTGGAAGAAGCCATAGTGCTGAAGTTTAGATTGTTCAGGATTGAGCATGGCGTTCAAGATTGTGCTGACCTTGTTAAATGTTTGTGTTGATATACGAAATTAAAAGGTAAAAAGCCTAGCCATCCTCTGTTCTTGAGTAGCTTGACACTTCGACACCATATGCTATCAATTCCATTCATCACATGAAATACAGATTGAACATGCAATGATTAACTCCTACTATCTTGAATGCTATCTGAAACAATATGGAATAGTATACCAATCTCTTTACAGACCCTCTTACACATAGCGAACTTCTTCTGCAGGCACCTTACCATGATCCAAGGACCAACCTCCGTTATGCAAATACTGATGTCTTCAAACTCGTGAGATCACTTCCAAATGAGCATGTGCATAGGTATCTTGCATTGAGAAATGCAGCCGTTACTCTGAAATAACTTGCAAGAATTCGCCTTGACAATGCTAGCCTGCTCCTGTTTCTGTTTCTGCATGAGATAGGATAGAGCTATTAAATAGTTTAGCTCGAAGAGATGCCTATTTATTGTTATTTGTGATCTGTACTGTGGTGAGAGTAAACATGATTAATTGCACCGACTATGTTTTGGAATTTGTAGGAATGTCTCCCCTCTCTCCTTTTCGCACGAGCTGATTTGATGTAAACCAATCATTGTCTGTAGCTTAGGTAACTGGATCATTTATGAATGTTGACCGTTTGGCAGGCTTGCTATAGCTTGCAGTTCATAGGTTCTTGAATTGTGCACGGCATTAAAAACTAGTGCAATTGCCTATGAAATCATCTCCATCCTGGCTCCCAACATTTCTATGTTTTTCCACTTGAATTACATCATTCGCCAGCATCTCTCGGTTTTGTTGGTTGAGTTTATACAGAAACCCTCCTTTTGCTTGGTTAACGCTGTTCAAATAAAGTACATCCATCGATAGAATCACCTAGTATCTTTAGTGATTATGGGAAAAGGCAGAGCTGCCTAAATCTATAAACGAAAACACCAGAGCTTCCAAAATTCCAACTGTTGGCGTTACAAACCTTTAGTTTCCATGCTCTGAACATGAATTTAGTTGACATGGCTGGTAAAAACACGTCCTTTTGTTGAGGATGAGCTCAACGTGAGTAAGCCGTAAAGGTAGCTGCACGAATCCATCTTTTTCTTCATTAAGTTGTGTTATTGACTGAACTAAATGTAAATCGTGATGGCACTGTTTCTACATCCAAGATGTTGCACCAAATATACCTTTAAGGATATTGCTTTCAGTGGGAATATTTGTGTGGTGATAAATTCATGACAGTACAGTATCAGTGACTAAGCTATGCAGTATCATCAAACACCATGTCCCATGCCGGACTGATCATTTGATGATTTGAAAATACCATCGTGCCTTGTGCCAAACACAGCTCATCATCACATAGCTAAGACAGAACCCCAAATTACAATGCCCTTTTTTATTTGCTTCAATTTAGTGGAAATTCAATGGTGCATAATCACATTTAAGTAGTCTTCTTGAACATTTTAATCTTTTTTTGCTTTTCTTTTTTCCTGACAGGACGACCTCTGACAATTTAAAAATAAGCAGACATAAAACGAAACAGAAATTGAAAACCCAGATGGTTAGGATGAAACTCTATGGCCATCATCCTATCAGAAGTTACAACTTGGAGCAGTTGCCAGCAGCTGTTGTATCATAAACTTTGAGGAAGAATCGTACCCTGGGGATGGATAACTTTGCCTCAAGAATTGTTCCAAGGGTAGCGATCAGATTCCTCTTAACTTGTTTGGTAATCCCACCCATTGACACTATCTCTGCGTACGCAGCTGGTTCCTTGTTTCCATTGAATGATATGCCCAAGGTTCCTTTAAGTATGACCATCACAAGCTGCATAGATATACAAGAACATAAAAATTAAAAGAAAACAGTAGTTAACGTGATGAACGTTTTAGATTTTGCTTAGACACGCAAGATTTGATCAAATGAGCAGGCGGCTGCATCCTTCAAAGTATCTTCCACAAAATACACGCTCGCAGACAACACATGCCATTCCTTTCCTGTCAAACGACGCCATGCGAATAATTTGTATGCTTCCAATAATTCTCGTCGAATTATGTCAATGTGGAGGAGTTAACATGACTTCTGCGGCATATGTCATCTTCTGTGCTGCCAATAAGCATTCCTTTTGCTAATGAACGAGCACGGAGCTCAATTGGCAGTAAAATCCACCACCCTCTAAACTTTTCTTTGACAATGGGGATACTCCAGGACCAAATTTAGTCAAGCCCGCAAATCACGAGTATATTCATGAGAAATTTATTATTTACGTTTTTTAATGAAATTTCAATATTGTACGATAATATATAAAAGTAAATCCTATCACCATCCGAGCTAAGCCTAAGTTGCATCCTTATCTTCCATTTAGGTAAAGCTCTTTTATTCTTTTTGTAGTAAAAATTAAGCAACTCGTCACGTTCAATAGTTGAAAGGTGGGTGGAAGTTTTTTCGAGCTTAGACTTTAAGGAAAAACAATAAATATTTCAATATATTTTTATATAACTAAACATGTGATGCATATGTCCTGCATTCCGAGTTATATCAAGGAATTTATCTCAGAAAAAAAAAAGTTTAAAGCAGTTCTTTTTATGTTAAAGTATATTAAAATAATATTTTTTATTTTTAAAATTAATATATTAAAACAATATAAAATATAAAAAAAAATTAATTTTAAAAAAAAATTAAATTTTAAAAAAACACAATTTATATGGTTACAAACATTTTGAAGTCGTAGTTGGCTTCTAATTTTCGATAAAAAAACTAGGATAGATTGATACAAGTAGTAGGTGTGAGAGTGACGTCCTATGATAAAAAAATTCACCCATTTTAACTACTTCGGAGCTTCTTGTGAATACGCTGGATAGTGGACAGTCATTTATTTGTCCGTTCACATTTGCTTTCTTACATGCTCGGTTGAGCGATTATTGGACGTGTCATTATAATTATTTTTAAAAATATTTTTTATTTAAAAATATATTAAAATAATATTTTTTATTTTTAAAATTAATATATTAAAACAATATAAAATATAAAAAAAAATTAATTTTAAAAAAAAATTAAATTTTAAAAAAACACAATTTATATGGTTACAAACATTTTGAAGTCGTAGTTGGCTTCTAATTTTCGATAAAAAAACTAGGGTAGATTGATACAAGTAGTAGGTGTGAGGGTGACGTCCTAGTGCCCGAGTTCATCAGTTCTTATCCTATGATCTCTCGAGTATCCATTTTTGTCCGTCGTCCTGGTGCATGCGTGTGGGTGTTTGTTAAATGGATTGACTGTGTCTCCTTCGCTCTAGACGGCTAAAAATCATGCGTGGTCCCTTCACTTTTAGCATGTAGTTTAATTAGATCCTGTGCTTTAAATCTGGTCAAATTAACCCCTATATTTCTTGTTAAAGGCAGTTAAGGTTCTTCATCCAATCCCCCTATAGAATGTGGCATTCATCTAGCCATTCAATTCATATCCAAGTTGGATGAAATCACCCTTAACTGAAGGAGGGGAGGTATATTTGATCAAATTTATGACAGGGTGTTTGGCTTGGCCGAATCTGTAACCTAGAAGGACCACTCAAGATTCTTGCCAAATCTTGACCGCCACTGCTCACTTGCTTAGCCAAGTTACCTTTTTTTTAATTTTAAAGAAAGGAAAGAAGGTTGGTTTTCTGTACGTCAGGTGGACAACCCCTTCATCTGGGAAAAATGAAGGGAACTCAAGATAAAATGGCCATGGCTCCTCGGCATTACCCAAAAAAAACTTGGATACGGCTTCAAAAAAATGCCCCAGAAATCGAAAATCAAATCTGAAACTATCTTAGCAAGTTGGGTCGAATGGGTTAAGAAGGGTAAAGGGAACGTGATCCTTATTGGAAGTTATCAAATTATTTAACTTTCCATTGGAGAAAGTGGCCTCCTTAAAATACTAACATTAAAAATAATTAAGCAACCGATCCTTCTTTAACCTTTACGGGTCACCATTAAAGAAAATCAACACACAAACTGGGCTGTGGGCCAACATATCAAAGGGAACAAGGCATGCATTTGGAGGCCACAGAATTCGAACATGAACAAGCAGAAGAAATTGAAGGAAAAGAGAGTTGGAGGGATAGAGAGTGTTTACATGTTCAGGTCTTCCGATGATGGAAGCAACAGCTTTTGTGGCCTCGGAAAAGATGGGATCCTTATCAACATCATCAAGGTTGACATTGGTGGAGATATAAAGGCAAGGCATCTTATCTGAATCTAATCTTTGTATCTCAGCCCTTATTTCTTCTTCTTCTTTGTAAGAGAATAAATATGCGTGAGAGAAAAGTTCTGTCACCAAAAAGATCAGGGACTAGGAAATCCACACTTGTTGCTTCAAAATCCGATGCTTAAAACCTCCTTATATAATTGAGGAAGGAAGAGTTTCAAAATCAAGAAATCCCACACTTGCCCCTGCCCTTACTTCACTGTCTGGAAGCACATGTCTTGAGCTGGATTGGCAAGGATATATGCAAGAGGATGGCAGGACCTGGACCACCCCGAAGGCACAAACGTTGTGCTGTACAAGATCAAGGAATGGACCATGAATCGATCAGATTACAGGATCAAGTCTAACTACAGTATATGTAATAGAAAATTAGACTTATTTCATGTTATTGTGTGATTAGTCTCTGATGAAAAACTTTGAACGATTCCAACCTTTTAAATGAAGCACTTTTTTAAACAAATGGGACTTTGAGGTAAAGGACTGTGATTTCCACCAATTCAGCTACCAAGTCACTTTCTTAGAACACTTTATCCTCCACAAAAATGGTGGACTGTGATTTCCACCGAACCCATGATATCGTGCTGCTCTCAATGGAAAACAAATGCATTTGGTCCAAACTCCATCCCAATATCAACCCATCATCCACAAAATGTGAATCGAGTGGTAAAGAAGGACTAAAAGTTCCATCTTTTTCCCCTTCATCGAAAGCATCTCATGATGAAACTCTATGGCCATCATCCTATCAGAAGTTACAACTTGGAGCAGTTGCCAGCAGCTGTTGTATCATAAACTTTGAGGAAGAATCGTGCCCTGGGGATGGATAATAGCCTCAAGAATTGTGCCAAGGGTAGCGATCAGATTCCTCTTAACTTGTTTGGTAATCCCACCCATTGACACTATCTCTGCGTATGCAGCTGGTTTGTTGATGGTTGCCTCATTTGCCGCTGAAGAAGTGGTTTTCGATGCTGAGAAGGTTGAGTAAAGATTATCTCCAATAAGTTAGGAGATTTGTTGCAAATAAAGCTGTTATAGAACAGTTTTTTTCTGTTAAAATCTTGTCATTATTTTTCTTAAATTTATTATTAGAACTCTTGTATTAAAAAATTATTCAGTCAATAAAACAATTAATGCTTGCAGTCTAAATAGCGGAAATTTAGAGAAAAAAGGATGTTTCAATGGAAGAAAGGTTTTATCTGTTTCTTTGAATATTAACGTGAATATACAGCTTACTATTCTATACAAGCTGCTGGTTTTTTTATAACATTACAAGTTGTTTAATTTGGATACATTGACTTGCCTAATTCTTGGCTGATCTGTTGTAGCAATATTTCTGAGGATGAATTACATCCTAGTACTCTATTGCTTGTTAGAAATGTGGAAACTGTAAGTTAGTGGGTGGGGAAAAATTCAAAGATAAATTTGTTTGACCAGATTTAACATGTAATCTTGCAACTTTGATGAAGCAAATGTGCCCTGTTATGTCCTGGTACGCATCTTTGAAGGTGCCCTGGGATGCCCTCCAACTGGATTCCTAATACATCTGCTTTTGTTTAGCTGGAAGAAGCCATGGTGCTGAAGTTTAGATTGTTCAGGATTGAGCATGGCGTTCAAGATTGTGCTGACCTTGTTAAATGTTTATGTTGATATACGAAATTAAAAGGTAAAGAGCCTAGCTATCCTCTGTTCTTGAGTAGCTTGACACTTCGACACCATATGCTATCAATTCCATTCATCCCATCAAATACAGATTGAACATGCAATGATTAACTCCTACTATCTTGAAGGCTATCTGAAACAATATCGAATAGTATACCAATCTCTTTACAGACCCTCTTACACATAGCGAACTTCTTCTGCAGGCACCTTACCATGATCCAAGGACCAACCTCCGTTATGCAAATACTGATGTCTTCAAACTCGTGAGATCACTTCCAAATGAGCATGTGCATAGGTATCTTGCATTGAGAAATGCAGCCGTTACTCTGAAATAACTTGCAAGAATTCGCCTTGACATGCTAGCCTGCTCCTGTTTCTGTTTCTGCTTCTGCATGAGATAGGGTAGAGCTGTTAAATAGTTTAGCTCGAAGAGATGCATATTTATTGTTATTTGTGATCTGTACTGTGGTGAGAGTAAACATGATTAATTGCACCGACTATGTTTTGGAATTTGTAGGAATGTCTCCCCTCTCCCCTTTTCGCACGAGCTGATTTGATGTAAACCAATCATTGTCTGTAGCTCAGGTAACTGGATCATTTATGGATGTTGACCGTTTGGCAGGCTTGCTATAGCTTGCAGTTCATAGGTTCTTGAATTGTGCATGGCATTAAAAACTAGTGCAATTGGCTATGAAATCATCTCCATCCTGGCTCCCAACATTTCTATGTTTTTCCACTTGAATTACATCATTTGCCAGCATCTCTCGGTTTTGTTGGTTGATTTTATACAGAAACCCTCCTTTTGTTTGGTTAACGCTGTTCAAATAAAGTACATCCATCGATAGAATCACCTAATATCTTTAGCGATTATGGGAAAAGGCAGAGCTGCCTAAATCTATAAACGAAAACACCAGAGCTTCCAAAATTCCAACTGTTGGCGTTACAAACCTTTAGTTTCCATGCTCTGAACATGAATTTAGTTGACATGGCTGGTAAAAACACGTCCTTTTGTTGAGGATGAGCTCAACGTGAGTAAGCCGTAAAGGTAGCTGCACGAATCCATCTATTTCTTCATTAAGTTGTGTTATTGACTGAACTAGATGTAAATCGTGATGGCACTGTTTCTTCATCCAAGATGTTGCACCAAATATACCTTTAAGGATATTGCTTTCAGTGGGAATATGTGTGTGGTGATAAATTCATGACAGTACAGTATCAGTGACTAGGCTATGTAGTATCATCAAACACCATGTCCCATGCCGGACTGATCATTTGATGATTTGAAAATACCATCGTGCCTTGTGCCAAACACAGGTCATCATCACATAGCTAAGAAAGAACCCTAAATTACAATGCCCTTTTTTATTTGCTTCAATTTAGTGGAAATTCAATAGAGCATAATCACATTCAAGTAGGTCTTCTTGAACATTTTAATCTTTTTTTGCTTTTCTTTTTTCCTGACAGGACGACCTCTGACAATTTAAAAATAAGCAGACATAAAACGGAACAGAAATTGAAAACCCAGATGGTTAGGATGAAACTCTATGGCCATCATCCTATCAGAAGTTACAACTTGGAGCAGTTGCCAGCAGCTGTGGTATCATAAACTTTGAGGAAGAATCGTGCCCTGGGGATGGATAACTTTGCCTCAAGAATTGTTCCAAGGGTAGCGATCAGATTCCTCTTAACTTGTTTGGTAATCCCGCCCATTGACACTATCTCTGCGTACGCAGCTGGTTCTTTGTTTCCATTGAATGATATGCCCAAGGTTCCTTTAAGTATGACCATCACAAGCTGCATAGATATACAAGAACATAAAAATTAAAAGAAAACAGTAGTTGACGTGATGAACGTTTTAGATTTTGCTTAGACAAGCAAGATTTGATCAAATTATCTGGCGGCTGCATCCTTCAAAGTATCTTCCACGAAATACACGCTCGCAGACAACACATGCCATTCCTTTCCTGTCAAACGACGCCATGCGAATAATTTGTATGCTTCCAATAATTCTCGTCGAATTATGTCAATGTGGAGGAGTTATCATGACTTCTGCGGCATATGTCATCTTCTGTGCTGCCAATAAGCGCTCCTTTTGCTAATGAACGAGCACGGAGCTCGATTGGCAGTAAAATCCTCCACCCTCTAAACTTTTCTTTGACAATGGGGATACTCCAGGACCAAATTTAGTCAAGCCCGCAAATCACGAGTATATTCATGAGAAATTTATTATTTACGTTTTTTAAAGAAATTTCAATATCGTATGATAATATATAACAGT